TTCTTGGTGCCATTCTTTAAGCGGTTTTCATGAATGCAAAAAAAAAAACCGACCAAGTTAAGGAATTTAAAATTGTCTTCTAGAGAGTCACTCGTATTCCCCATCGCATAAAGTACCGCTGTTCTATCTTCGCCATCACGATCTCGTATCTTTTCAAAATTATTAACCGTTTCCATTTCAAACGAACCATAAAACAACCATAGAAAGATATTACCGTGTCGTTTACCGGGTGAGGTGCGCCGGGTTCATCAACGCGAGTTCGATATAACGACGATAAGATGGGATTTACGGAAACAGGGACGCATTAAACGGCCTCAGATTTGCCATTGATACGGTCGATGCGCGCGCACGTCCCCGGGAAAAATAAATCTTGCACCGTGTCGAGGAACCGCCTGGAAGGTTCTCCCCATTACCAGAGAGAATGGTCAACCATAAAGTGGCACCGTTTTCGTCGTCTTTTTAAACAACGTTGCTCCCCAACCGGCAACAAAGCCGAATGATGATGCTACCGGACGGAACACCGCTGCCCGTGAAGTCTCTGATTGATACATGCTGCGCGTACAGCCTGCGCTCCTTGATGCAATCATATTCGCGTGCAGATGAATACATGCGACGCGCAACAGTAGCGTAGACCCATGAAACAGCTGTAACGTTGGTGGTCTTTGGTTTCCAACTGATGCTCCGAGAAAATCGCAACGACGTGCTTTCGATTCTATGCTTCTGATAGCTGTAGAAAAAACATTGTTCAGACAAGTCAAGATATAATATAATACGAAGATCATAGTTTGAAATTAGGAAGGGTAGTAATTAACGATCTGTTTGTTAGGATTTTAACTTGTAATTGTATTCTTTATCAGAGACACTTGTAAATTAATCTGACACCAGTAGTTTACATAACGATTAAACGAAATGTATGTAATTCTTAATTCGATTTTAGATGGGACCAAGTTTCATTCAAGGAATAGTAATGTAACAATTTTTTGAATAATGCACGAGGGTTAAGTATTCGTGGGTTAGTTACTTCCTACCTTTTTGGCATTCCAATGCACGAGGAGTACCACTAGTTTGACTGTCATTTGTTATTGATGTTAGGTGTCTGAAGACGGAATGGGTATCATGTGTAAGTTTGTATTTTGATTTAATTTATTTTGTCAAGTGTTGCTAGAGGAATGGGAAAAAGTTGTAGAAACTGGAGGCAATTATATAGTGTAACAGATAGGTATTGTAGCAGTTGTTCAATATTAATATATTTAGGGAAGTGGCGATTACTTTAGCGTACATCTGATAATTTAAAATATGAAATTCTGTTTCAATGTTTAAAAATCGTGGAGTCATTTTTTTGCATCTGTGCGAGTATACAAAAAATGTGAATTAAATACTGGACGTGACGAATATTTAGATGAATTCTGATTGAAAATATTTGTCGATGGTTAGCAACCAGCTATTTTCATGAATTGCGACATGTGGTGTACATCCTTAAAAAGATGCGTATCAAAAGGAAGCACTTGAAATACGTTCTGGTTGAATCATAGGACACGTGTCCTACATTTGTTAATAAAATTACTGTTCGCTTTCATAGAGCGGCCCGTGTACACGATGGTAATAATTACAGCGTACTTGACACGGTATCATGGTGAAATGGTTGCGTGCACAGCGGTTAGAGAAACAGCACGTATGCGGTCAACTTTACACAATGCCTCGTAAAAGACTATAATGAATAATGAATAATTAAATTTACACCAGTGTTTACGTTTTTATTTTAAACAACAGTGTCAGCGTTCTACGTAATTTATAGGAAAATTATAGCTTGCACACACTTCGCTTAATTCGATAATAAAAACTTGAAAATTCCACAATCACATGACAATTTAACTATACATCGATTTATGATTTCGAAATTGTATTAGGTAATAAATAACGCATCCTTCTTTTTTAATTACGCGGTGACGTATTCAAAATTAAAAATATTTTCCCCAAATTTCGGTGAGGAAAATAGTGTAGAACTTCCGAAAATTATTCTAAACATAAATGAAACAGTATAGATCCTTGATCGTAATAGAAATAAACATTGATTTCTTCAGAAGATAGTGGATTACTACTTATTGGTACACCTGACATGAAATCAACGCAAGAATGTGCTATAAAACTATTTAGTAGTACAAATGGGCAGGAGGTGATTCTATAAGAAAAATAAGTCGGAAAAGACAATAAAATTTTTCGGATAAAGCTTCGTTTTCGAAACGATCGAACTTGAAAATTTGTTGGACACACGAGGAATAGAATAGCTGACGCGTCCGTTCATAGCAGGCTGTTTCTACTTACTGCCTGCACGTGATTTAGATGAACATGCAAACTCATTTTTTTCGGGAACGGAACCTCAGATGAACAAAATTTATTCTTTCTTTTCGACTTATTTTTACTTAAGAATCACTTCTTGGCCGGCTGTGCTCTATTATCCGATCTGAGACACACTGTATACATCTCCTAATTTTTATCAAGTTCAAAACTTATACAGGTAACCCTCTTATAGCATGAAAATTCGTACCGAGTGATAGAAAACTGCGTTAACCAAAATATCATTTCATGAATACCAAGAAGTGATACAAATGTTGAGATTCCGTTACAAAAGATAAGGAAAAATACTGATGATTTCAAAGTTAATGATTTTCAAATTCGTAACATTAAAATAAAAAAAGTTTCCTCTTGCACGAAGATTCCTACAATTTTTAAGATCGTACTCTTAAATCATCATGTTATACAAGGATTACCTAAAAATAGTACCCACAGTTAACAACTTTTTACCATAAATTTTCGCAGTATCTCGCGAACGTGCGTCATATGCTGAAACAGAAGACGCTTTTGTATCATCATTTCTGTTTCCTGAAAGTCGCTACAATGTTGCACCGTTACAAAACGTGGCCACGCGAGCATCCTGGTGTCCTTCCGAAGAGGTTAAAATAATACATCTCGAGGGAGGGAAGTACACGCGTATAACGTTCGTATATACGAGACACTCGGTGGCACCGTGGTGTGTTCGTTACGTCCCTGAACGGTGCTTAGAAGGGAATATTCACAGATAGAAGTCAATAAATCCAGCCGTGGCGGTGCTCAACGTGTGCTCTCCAAGCCAGACCGGTAGTCCAGAAGAAACTGGCTGCCGGCAAATAATGGCCGTGGAATCGTCGCTTCCGTTTATAGAGATACCGGCTGCGGCTTTCTAAGCATTCGTTCGCGTATATACCTATGTAATATCCACTGTAGAACTGGCCAGAGGAGAGTAGCTGCGTGAACCAGCTTCGAACCAGCTGTGCACCTCAACAATGGCCTATACCTTGTCTTTTACGGTATTCGTTGCTGGGGTCATTCTTGTTCCTGACTTTTATTGGTAGCATAGAAAACTCGGTGTACGTACATTTAATTCTTGCTTAACCCATTCACTGTATTAATAGTCATTTTAAAGTCATTTTAAATATAATGTAAAAATAACGACGTCGTTTCTTTAATGTTTGAATGTGATGTGAAGGAAATTCGTACTGCCGATCGCCAAGAAATGTTCCAAATATTGTCGGTAAAATGATAAAGTAGACGTCCACTGTAGTAAACAAATGAAATTTCCTTGAGGTTTCTTCAGATTTTTATGGAACACTTACAATGGACACTTTAGCGTTCGCGGGCGGAAATGAGCGATTAGGTGAAATAATAAAGAAGAAATTTAATTAGGGGCCAGGTGAAGAGAGAGAAGCTCGAAGCGTGTAATTGGCGAGGGTGGAGCGTTTCTCTGAATGGACCTACTTCGATCGTTTAAGACCGCGCCGAAATACGGTCCTAGAGAGGTTATTCGTACAACACAAATTTTAGATACACGCTCGTCGGAGGGGATATAATAATACGTGTTGGCGAGTCGGCCACAAAGGATCAAGTCTTCCGCTTTCCGGACCTTTCGTGGAAGCCTTGACCGCAATAAGATGTTCGTTCCATTTCGCGAGAAGGCATTAGAGGCCTCCTCGATATTGTCCAGCTGGAACGTGGACGTCTTAGATTTTGCGCTTTAGTTGGTTGTTATTTATAATACAAATATGTAAATGAGGAAATTTGTCATGTTATACTGCGGTTAAAACTGAGAAAATGTTTATCGTTTATCAGAGGCGATACATAAATTACTGTCAGAATTTTTATCGAAATCCAGTATAGACGTTTTTATAACAATTCAATTTGTCGCAATTACGTTATTGTTAATACTTATTCAGAATCAAGATCCATCCTATGTTTAACTTATTACTGGAAAATTTAAATATTATAATCGACAAAACAGCGTTTTATATTTATGTTTGTTGATCCTAGTTTGAAGTCGCCACGACCAATCTGACTTGATGTTATAAGACGAGGGGTAAAGGATATGATACCTAAGACTGCACTAGTTATAAAATAACACATTTAATGCTACAATTTTTACTCTTGGGACAGTGTCATGATGAAGTACCTTTGTCTAGGTCTTTGTTATTAGCAGTATAAGTGTTCACACGTTAACTTGAACACTTATTACATTCATTATTGCTCTTCCACTCATTTATCAAACTAAACATTAATGTTTATTTATTCATACATTAAACATTATGTATATTTTTATTTATTCTAAGAACATCATGTTTCTGTTTAGAAATTTAATGTTTCTTTGTCTAATTTAATGGCACCGGTCATTGGTGGCAACCATGGCAGTACGCGTGTTAACTAAGGCCCAGAATGCTCCACTGTGATAAGAAAGATGTTAATAAAACAAGCAAATACATTCAGTATAATTTAATTGAAAGCTGTTTTGTTACATAACATTGCACACATAATACTGTGCTGAATTACATTTGGCATTGTAATAAAATTACAGAAGACATGTATTTCTTATTCCACTAGAAGACTATAATTTAGATGTATGTAATTAACTATTATTCTTCCGTTTCCTATCGAAATACAATGTTAACGTTCAAAAATTTTGTTTCTTGTTTCAGTTGTACATCAAAATACGTGGGAGAGTACTGTCAACATCTGAATCCGTGCCACACAGGACCCCGTTGCCAGAACGGTGGTTCCTGCAGGGTGAAAGAGAGCACCGGCGGCGGCACCCCGTCTTTCACCTGTTCCTGCCCCGTTGGATTCACCGCGAGTTTGTGTGAAATCCCAATCGAGAACGCATGCGACTCGTCACCTTGTTATAACGGCGCCACATGCAATCTGAAATCGCTCCGTGAATACGTTTGCACCTGTGCCACTGGATACACAGGTAACAGTTTCAATATCTTTACTTTTTAATGTCCCTCGACGGCACCGAAGACTGATGAAATGTTTAAGACAGGACGTAAAAAACAGTCCTGAGTTCTGGGAATTCGGTTGTCTGGACCAAATCTGGAATTTGATTTCTCCTCTGTGTCTGTTTTACGATATAAGGAGTGGTATTAATTAACTGCTTGAGTAACTTCGACTACATTTTGCATGTGTATAACGAATTGTACGTACTAACCAGAGAATATTCATTTTGAACAGTGTCCCATAAGAATGTCAAGTTCTCATTAACATCGTAATAAATAACAAAAAAAAGTGAAAACTAAATGACTTTATTCGTGATATGAAATCCATAAAGGAATAACGATCGTTAGTCATCGGAGCAACAGATCGGACGAGTATCAAGGTTACGTGATTGGTCGAACGATAAAACCTGACAATCCCGGTATTCGCATTGTTTCGCTCATTAATAAGATAATATCGTTGTGAATAGAGAATAGAGAACTGGGTTTAATAATTTCAAGGATTTGTCGCGTTCGTTTGACTACACGTCATATCGAGATCGTTGATGCTCAAGCTATTCAAACAAACAACACTGAGTTATGAATTACAGAATTGTACATTATTTATTATAGATTTAAATTCAGGAGTCAAAGGGTTAATTCTGGCGCAGCTCCACAGCACAATATGTGGATTAAATCACTAAAAGAGCAAGTCTTCGGTTTACCTCGGATGTCTAAACCCGTTTAGAACTGTAAAGTGGTAGTTCCTCGGTCTCGCTATTCCGAGCATTCGTTTCCACGGATTTGTTTGACTCGCGGAAGTTGTGACCAGTGGTTTAACCGAGTATTTTTTCTGGACCGTCGTTACACGGGGGGCACGTGCTGGCTTGACAAATAAATCTAAGGGTAACAGGAATTTGGTGGGAAAGGGGGTAGGACGAAAGAAAGGGCGCAAGAGACGAGGGGGGAATCTACGGGGAAAGAGGAGAAGTTTGTGGCGCTGGATAATTGGCGGAGAGCAATGCGGCATTTAGCTGCGGCGGTACCTTTGGCCCAGTGGTTCTCAGATTTGCACTCTTTAGCGAACGTTCGCTGGATCGCTACATTGTCAACGGTATACTTAATCAGCTTCATTGTCAGAATCGTGAAGTACATATTGAATGAACTAATGGCGGTGTTTCGATCATTTTTCATTTCGAAACTACCAATTATAGATCGATCGCTGTACTGGAAGCCTCGATATGGATTTTTTCCCATTAAACCAGACATGTATGTATGTAAATACTGATCTGTGGAATTTTTTATAGGGTTTCTACAAGGTACAAAATAGATGATATTTCATAAAAACGGGGTAGGTTTGCAGTGAATTTCTGAAATCGGAAATGCATGATGGTATTTCGCCATTCGAATGGTGGCAACGATTTTTAAGCTTAGATGAGAAAATAATTCAACATTGAATAATATAAATATAATACTTAGTTTACTCTCGATAAATTGAAACAGACAAAATAGATTTTCGGACAGTCTATTTAACACTTTGCGGTCCTATGTCAACGTTAACTCGACAATCTTGTCGCAATTACTTTAATACTTTTTAAATGTCACGAATATATTATTCAAATTAATGTACTGATATCTATTTAAATTATACGATATTTATACAAATGTCTGAAGTAGAAGGACTAGAATACTTGGGACTGTAAATAGGTAACAAACGGTTTTTACCCTTTTGCCGGTCTCTTCACTTACGACTCGATATGAGATCCAAGAACCACTGAAGTATAGCGGGTGTAGTGCACAGATCGAGGAGCAGAGACATCTTAGATCTAAGGGAGCGAGCAGCGAGTCCAGTAATTAGTTCCACTAATCAGTGACCCAGGGAAGGTAGGGATGAGGCTTTGGGTAGACTGGACGGGTCGGTCAGCGTTACGGCCATCAAAATCCTTTATTCGCAATGATCCTTATCAACGAAATTCATAAAAATCCCGAAGAATCATTAACATTTAATGTAATGTGAAAGGTCACGAGAAAATCTACCTTTTAACCCTGGGACTGCTGGGTATCTGATTGTGAGTCAATTTTGACCTAGAATTTCAGAAACTATAATAAGTAGGATTTGTTAGGTATTTTGAAAATATCTATGAAAACGAAGATGACTTTATAGAAATTTCGGCTAGTGTATTTTCAAAGTACCACCAATTTTACTGTTCTATCATATCTATTTTTGTATTTGCATTAAAAAAAATGGAAGTTACACAAAATATTAATCTAGAAGTAGTGAGAAATAATTCTTACTTTCAACTGTACTTATGTAAAAACCAAACTACTTCATAGAAATTTCGTGGTTTATTTCCTGTCGAATGATACTTTTGTCTTCCTCTTTTTCAACAAACGTTATATTTATTTTTTGAAACCGATGTGTACGCTTTCTCGAATTACTCCCAAAATGCCACCGAACACAAATTTACATTAGTACGGAATAATTATAAGAATTCATCAAGAAACATCGCGACCTTATAGAAATTTCGGCCAGTACAGTGGTCGATAAAAATCCCTCCTATTTCCTTCGTTCAAGTGCAACACACTCGTCACATATTTTTACCATTTTTTCTTCTCGCCGTTTCAGGGAATCACTGCGAACGACAAGACCACTGCGCCTCGTCGCCGTGTCGAAACGGGGCCGAGTGTCGGTCGCTCGAGGACAGCTACAAGTGCACATGTGCGCCAGGCTTCACGGGGCCGAATTGCGCTGAGGACATCGACGAATGCGACAGGGACCCGTGCATACACGGCTCCTGCAAGAACATTCACGGATCTTACAAGTAAGTCGAACGACATCGTTAACGGTCCCACTCGGTGGGTATGCGTACTTTACATATCTTCTTTGCCGCGTAAACCGGCGCTCTCTCACGTCCCCCTGGTTTCCGATAAAACAGGCCGCGACTCAATTTCACGCGGCCCGACATCAACGGTCGTGAATTTTCTTTTCCTTTTCTGTTCTCCTTCGGTCGAAGCTGATCCACCAAACGCAGGAGGAAAGAGACGCGTGGCTGTTTTGTGCTTAACATAAATTTTTATCACCGAGTCTGGGGCAGATTTTAATCTCGCGACGGAGTCTTCATTTTGGATATTCTGCACGTACGGGGCTTCGAAAGAGTGGCGGAGAATTGATTGAAGCCTTGTATCCTGACGTTACTATGTATGAAACGAAGGATGCAATGTTATATAATGTGTTCGGTGTTTCGGTGAGTTTATGCTCGGATGTGAAATTGCTGTTCGTGAAATTGTGTTAATTGCGCGGGATAAACATCTTCTCGATCGGATCGACGGGCCCAGATATTGAAATTGATGGGTATATGGTACCCACGGGAACTTGTTGCCTTGAAGGAAGGAGAATGTACCGATTCGAACGCAATATCCGATGCCCGTGTGCGAGATTACTTTGGGAGGCAAAGTGTATCACCTGAAGGTTTTTTTATCGTTTGTTCGATTGAACACTTTGAGATCACATATTGGGTTTTTAATAGGAGCCTTCTTTTTGTAACTGAGAATAATGGAAATTTTAAATAATGTTCAGGGAACTGTGATCGTATTAAATATGATGTTTACGTAATACTTAAAGAAATTATGCTAGTAAATTATGGAGACTTAGGGAATTTAGTCAACATGTTCAACGTCGGATTTTGTATACTGCATGAACATACAACTATCTAGGTATATCTCCTCATTGTATTAATTTCTTAGCACTGTGTCAATTTGACATTAACTTGAGAAAATGAGGGACGCATGAAGGTTAAGTAGTATCAGAGATTTATCTAATACAAACTTTTTTACTAGTTTCACATTTTAACAACTAGCCTTCAAATTAAAATCAATTAGTGAATTAAATTTTCAGTAAGACATTGAATAATTTTACTGAAACTGCACAATATCCATCAGAACGAATGCATTCTGTGTATATAACCTAATTAGATCAGGCATGCATTCCGGAAATGGTAATAAATGGTAACAATTGCCTTAAAGATTTGAAGTTAATCGGATAATTAATTTTCGTTTTAAGAAACTTCCAAGAAATCACTAAAAAAACAATGAATTCATCTAAAACAACTACCACCTAAGCCATAAATTTGTCAGCGTGTAACTATCGGCTTAAAGGGTAGAAAAAGTACAGACTCCTCTCGATTATCGTCTGGCTCGTTCTACACGATTATGGTCCAACCGTTATCCTCACCACTTGAGGGGCGGAAGGGATAGAATCTGTCAAGCGCATACATTGTTGCCTCTCCGTTTTTGTTGCCGAGGCTCGGACTTCGGGCAAAAAACAAATTTACGAGGATCTGAAGCATTTCTCTCTATAACATTATTGTCCCGAGTTCGGGACATTAATCGAGAGGAGTCTGTAACTACATACAAATTTTATACTGCTTGAAGCCCACTCTACCTACATCAAACTTAAAAAAAGAATTTCTCATAGCCCACCCTAATAACTTCTGCTATACTTAACTGGTTCGATTAATTTTCCAAAAGACACTTAACGTTTCCCGCTAACCAAAGATTCAAAACGGTCATGAAACTGCATCAGAGACGCTGGAAGACCCGAGAAATACCGCGAATATTTTCCAAGAACACGCGTAAACTGTTCCGTTAATTGGTTAATCAGCCGAATGACATGCTCTGGCGACGGGGGCAGATGCGCTCCGCTCGGACGCGTCACGGTGAATTCGATGACGGCGGCGTTCGTCGAGGCGAGAGAACGGGAATCGTCGTCGGTGCACGTCGTCGCGTTCACCAGCTCGAAATATCGTCGCGGGCCAGCGAGCGTTGCGACGAGAGCGCACAGGAGTGAACCGCCGCGCGCCGGTAGTGTCGTTCGTCTTCGCCGCAATTACCGATTGAGCACGGACGCGCTGGGACGCGGAGCGCATAACGACGCCGAACAACGAGGATCCATCGAGTCGATCCCACGGCCCATTACGGATTTGCTCGTAATTCGACGTTCCGTCGCCTGAAAAAAATCACTTCTGTCCCGAGGGTCGCGCCTTTTTCGAACGATCTCTCGTGTATAGAGGGTGGCCCATTTGAATTGATACATACGATGATCTTCGAGACTATTTGTAATGGGAAGAAATGAAAAGCTTACTTGGTTTCAAGGGGGATATGTTTTGAGGGTCACAAATCTTTTTTAGGCGGTTGTGCCTTTGAGGTTTCAAGGTAAACTTTGTTTAAATAGAATCGTATGTTTATATTCAGATAGACGTGTGGCCCATTTCGTGGCGAGAGTACTAGAAATATTAAAAATGGAACAATGTATTCATCTTTATTCATTTATGAACTTGAAGGATTTTTCTTAATCGACCACAAATAAATATTTAGATTTTCCAATTTAAATACCTCACCCTGTACAGTTTCATTAAAACAATCTGCAACTTCGTTGGGCATTTGAATTTCGACAAAACTACGTAAAAGTATTCTTTAAAACCATTACAAAAGATTTCATGGTGCTTTGAATATACAATATGGGCCAAAAGTATAGGACCAAAAGTTATGGAATCAGTACATATCCAAATCATTTCCAACCAGTTTTACAACATAACTTTTATGAAATCTTTGTAGAACAATATTTTCCCTAATGAAACCTGGTCCCATACTTTTGACCGACAATGCACTTATAAAATAAAAGAGACACGTAAAATACATAATACAAAGCTTGAAGAAGCCTGCAAATTTTTAAACGCTATTCATCCACAAAGTATAAAATCAATAAAATTGATTTTCCTTCGCTCGATGCACGGAACAACCCCCATAAAATCGCACGGTGAGGCGAATTTCACGAATGGACCGGAACGAGGGGCGGGGACGGTTTCAAAGAATGACTGGGGGGATCCTTTTTGTAAAAAAAGAAAAGAAAAGGGGAAAAGGAAAACCGACAGGGGTATCGCGGAAAGGAGACGAACTCGCCAAAAACTGGTTCCAGTCGGGGGACTTAAGGGCGAGCGGTGTGGAGAACATAAATCCGCGCTTTGTTGAGATCGAGTCGAGATTAATCGGGGGCCCGAGTCGAGCTGACTGCGCGAGAGCAGATAATGTCGCTGGGTCCTACATTATATTGAATTATATCGGCTCGACGCGCCAGTGGGTGTAAGTGTGCACGTACATACACAGTACCCTCGAGTCTTTTTTTTCTTCTTTCCGCCGTCGCGTCGGGAGCCGCGAGAAAGCTTTGTCGGGAAAGAATCGTCCTCTCTCCGAGACTGCTCGACATCTTCATTTTTCTATCTTTTGCTTTCGGGCGTCGTTCGTGATAAGTATTCGAAGTGCACGTCTGCCAACGGTGTCTTTTCTCTTCCTCGAAGCGTCAAGCTCCCATCGAAAATTCGATTACGGCGCGTAGTAACTTCAAACATGAAAAAACTCGCTAAAGATCCTGAGAGGCGGACAGAAGAGTATCTGTTTCGAGTTTATAACAAATTATACAGTTACCTGAAGGAATCAGGCACGATTATTTAAATTATTGGAAATATAGTAGCTTCTTTTTTTGTAAAAACATACATTTTTCAATACAGTTTGATGAAGTTAACGATTGCAGTGTCAATCAAACCGTCTTTGTTCTTATAAAAAAGTTTGTAATTTTCGAAGGGAAACTTTTGAAACGTTAACTTTTAAAAATGCTGTATTTATCGCGTTTTTTCAAGTTCTAACCCATTATACAGACTTCTCTCGATTAGTGTCCTGAACTCGGGTCTGCTGAAATGCTTCAGACCAAGCTCAAGCCTCGGCAACAAAAGAGGAGGGGCAACAAAACACTTTCCAGGTTCCACGCCCCCCCTTCAGTGGTGGGGATAACGCCTGGACAATAATCGTGTAGAACAAGCCAGACGATAATTGGGAGGAGTCTGTATGTCGTTTCTGAAGGTAATACCGCCGCCATATTGTCTTCCGTAATGGTGATGGCGTATTGGAGAGTCGAGCCACCGTGATGCTTCTTACGAAGACCAACGAAAATAAAAAGAGAAGTCGTTATTGCCGGCATGCATCCTTAATTGAACGGTATCTGGTTAACGCAGATGATGCAAACTCTAGGCAGGATAAGACTGATCGGGCTTTAGCTGGGTAATAAATATCGACGAAGGGTTAATCGTGCCGCTACCCACTAATTCCCTTTAACGCAGTTTAACTGCCCCTGCCCCCGAACCCTGGTAACCTTTACACGGCTACATAGTTGGCGCGTATATGCATCGATGTATGCCCATCCCATTTGAGTCCATTAAACCACGGTAGGATTATAATACCTAGGAGCGTACCTTTCCACACCTGTCCTGATACCTGGGCCGCGTAACAACGTTAAGACGAGCGTCGACGATCCATCTTGTGAGTGATCGACTCTGAAGCATTTCGAATCGCTTCCAGTATGTATACCTGGCGAGATATTGGAATCACTTTGAACATGATTCGATGCGTTACCACTATTGATAAGGCTTTAATAAGTCTTGAATCTCAAGTCCTAGTTAGGCTTTAGAGATTAGGTAGGCTCTGACAGTCTTGGAAGGTCTTGAAAATGTTAATAGTTTTCAAACGCTTTACAGTTTTGATAGATTTAAAAAGAGTTTCGAATGCTTCTGTAATACTGAATACTTACCAAGCTTTCAAGACTTTCGAAACTATTCAGGTTTTGAAGACTGTCAGAAACTGTTGAATCTTGAAAGACTCAAGGTTAATTAAGATTCAAGTTTATCAAAATTGTCAAGACTTTTAAGATATACAAAATTTATTTAATTTTATGTATGTATAATAGAATTAAAGTACCCATGAGAGTCATGAATTT